CTGCCCCCAGAGTTCCTTCTGGCACAAGAGAGCTAGCGTCAATCACGGAAAGCACATCTCAGGAAACATGCTGGGCCAAAGCCCAACTCTGCTTACAGCTTCTTCACTTTAAAGCTATGCCTGCGTGACCCCAAGGCCTCTAAGCAAGGCTGTTAGCATTGGAACTGACAGGTCCAGAACCGATTACACACCAAGTCATGCTGGACACACAGGGGACGCAGGAGAGGGCGAAAAGATACAGAAACAGCTCACAGCTGGAGCTGGACAGGCTCATGGAGAAAGATGCGGCAGTGGACGAAGCATAGACGAGTTCATAATCCCTAAACGCAATGATTTCATTTTCTGCCTCTGAGGGGCAATGGCCGCTTTGAAGCTTCATCACTGTCGGTCACTGAATGCAGATTCTCTTTCAGTTCAGTTCTATTTGTACTGTCTGTTATCTACAGGTCTAGAACCCTGTTGAGCAAGCCTACATTATTAAAAATGAAGGTGCTGAAAGGGTTCTTTGGAATGATGACCCTGAAGAACCTTTCAGTGAATGGTTCTTTAAGAAACTTTTTATGTAAATTAGATATGCAGGATATGAAAAACCTTTCCAAAGTATAAGAAACTTCTACACCTATTAAAGTTTTTGTTTTTTCTACTACTATATATCGATGCCAAGAATTGATTGATAAGAATGTAGGATGACGTTTTTAAATGGGAACCCTCAGAGCCTTCTTGGCCTTCAGAGAAGGCCTAGTAATTTCAGGGAACTAAAAAATACATGTCTGTAACTTTTATTTCATTTTTATTCAATAGAATAATGCCTGTATGTAATCTCTGCAAGTAATAAAGTACTACTCTTGTTTCATTGTCATGTTCTGGATGGAAACAAAAACTGAGCAGAAAATCGGGCTCTCAGGAATTGTTTTTCTTTGTGATATCTAGGTAGATATTCCTAAGCTAACATGCTAGATCAGGGATCTCCAAAGTCTAGCCCCAGGGCCAAATGTGGCCTGTGGTAGGACTTTAATTGGCCTGTGTCTTGCGTATTTAGAGTGTGTTATAAGTCACCAGCCAATACATTGCAGTTTTTCTTTTCACCTGATAGTGGCAGCAGCACTGTAAAATTATAGCGTAATGCTTACACTTAAAAAGCATAATTGGTGACAAAGTTAGAAAAGTTTGAGAGCCTTTCTGCTCTGATTAGACTTACAGCTTAATTTACTTAATAACATTTAGTCAAGACTACAGCCAAAAAACACAAGCTTAACATTAAGAACCAGTGATTTTGATGAGATGGAAACTTGGAAAATAGGCGTTCCTCTAAAGACTGTAATGAATTTAATATGGATAGACATGAAACAAAGCATGAACATTGCCATAAATAATCAGGAGATGGAGGAAAAACTAAAGCTGCAAGCTCCTCAAGTCTAATAGCACCAACTTCTAATCAGAGCAAATTCAGTAGCTCAGTAAATATTAATATATTAAGGCTGAACAATAGTGTGGCTATTAATGCTTTGGTTAATTTGCTTTACTCATTTAATAAAGTGATTTCTAACTGCTTTATTTGACATGTAAAAAACATGATCTAACAAAACTGAAAATGTATAGATTTTTGTTTACTTTGTCAAATAAATAGATTTTTGAACAAGTAAACACTTGAATAGCAGCGTACTTGATATATTAGTCATGTTGTGTTGTTCCTTTGAAAAAAGAAATAAAAAATGTGTTGCTCTGAATAAGTAATCTGACAATAAAGAAAGCCCCGTGGATCTTCTACACAGTGATAGGAAACATGGTAGCTTACAGAAAACTCAAATTCTATGTGCTGATACATTTCACTCTGACCAGCATGAACATGCATATGCCATAACTCCAGCAGCAGATTTTAAGGGGTCATCACCAAATTCTCAGAAAGGATCGCCAGCATTTTGAATCATTTGTGAATCAATTTTTAGCCATTTTGACATAGCCCAATCTAGCCAAACACAGCAACTCTATACCAGAGCTCTCCACTGAGTCACTGTGAAACTCTTACAAGGCAAAATAACTGCATGTTTTATAACGTTGGTATGTTCTAAGAAGTGCATGTCAGGACTGGAATCATGTTCAGCAATATTACAAAAACAACATTGTCCTGTCTTGCCAAGAGCAATTAAATTCTTAAGTGTGGCTTATGTAAAACCAAAATAAATGATCTGGTGTCAGCTTCTTTTTGCTAATTCGGACCATGCTTTCAACATATGGTTAAAGTATGAGAAGAGACTGTATGACTGAGAATTTGGGCTGGAGTTCTAGGGCCTTCTGCTTTGAGCTGAAAGGCCGAACCCCTTGTTGATGAACAGAGGTAGAGCTGAGATAGGACAGAGGAACAGATGGAGTGGTGGGGCATGAAAACGTCATCACGGGAAACAGAAGGTGGAGATGGAAATTTATAGGTTGTTAGATTGGAAGGAGGAAGATCTTTAGGCATGGTTCTCCTCCCAAACTTTAGTTATTTTAACTCCATGTAGGAGAGGTTTCATGCAACAGGGTCACCATAGAGTCAGACAAAATATCCACCCATCAAGTCGACTTAGGAAAAACACTCTAAGAGTATGAGAAATAACCACTGAGAGGAACCATGACTTATTACCCTGTTTCCAAAAGAGTTGGGACACTGTGCAAAACGTAAATAAAACAGTGTGCAAATCATTTAAACCCTATATTTAACTGAAAATAGTCCAAAGACGACATGTCAAATGTTAAAACTGAGAAATGTTATTGTTTTTTGAAAAATACATGCCCATTTTGAACTTGATGCTAGCAGCACGTTTCAAAAAAGTTGGGACAGGGGTAACAAAAGTCTGGTAAAGTTGTGTAATGCTCAAAAAACACCTGGTGGAACATCTCACAACTAATTAGGTTAATTGGGCACAGGTCAGTAACATGATTGGGTATAAAAAGAGCATCCCAGAGAGGCTGAGTCCTTCAGAAGTAAAGGTGGGGAGGGGTTTACCACTCTGTTAAAGACTGCACGGGGACATGTTGCAACAATTCAAGAATAACCTCTCAAACAGCAAAGAAATTGGGGATATCTGTCTGTAAGAGACAAGGCCAAAAACCGATACTGGATGGCCATGATCTTTGGCCTTTCAGACGGCACTACATTAAAAACAGACATGATTCTGTAGTGGAAATTGCTGCATGGGCTCAGGAACACTTCTGAAAACCACTGTCTGTGAACACAGTTTGTCGCTGCATCCACAAATGCAAGTTAAAACTCTACGACGCAAAGAAGAAACCTTATATAAACAGGATCCAGAAACGCTGCTGCCTTCTCTGGCCCTGAGCTCATTTAAGATGGACTGAGGAGAAGCAGAAAAGTGTCCTGTGGTCCAACTTATCAAAATTTTAAATTCTTTTTGGAATGGATACAGCATCCTCTGGGCTAAAGAGGAGAGGGACCTTCCGGCTTGCTATTAGTGCACAGTTCAAAAGGCAGCATTCGGGATGGTATGAGGGTGCATTAGTGCACATGGCATGGGTGACCTTAACATCTGTATCTGTAAGGCACTATTAATGCTAAATGATACATACAGGTTTTAGAGCAACATGTGCTGCCGCTCAGATGGCGTCTTTTTCGGGAAAGGTCTTGCTTATTTCATTGCAAGACAATGCCGAACCACATTCTGCATGTATTACAACAGCATGGCTCTGTAGTAAAAGAGTCCGGGTGCTAAACTGGCCTGCCTGCAGTCCAGACCTGTCACACATTGAAAACATTTTGCACATTATGAAATAAAAATACGACAAAAGAGACTTTAAACAGCTGAAATTCTATATCAAGCAAGAAACAGGAAAACATTTCACTTTCTAAACTACTGGCGTTGGTCTCCTCAGTTCCCAAACACTTACAGAGTGCTGTTAAAAGAAGAGCTGATGCAATACAGTGGTAAACATGCCATCATCCCAACTTACTTGAATTGTGTTGTTGGCATTAAATTTAAAGTGGGCATATATTCAAAAAAAATATATAAAATTGTAACATTTTATATGTTGTCTTTTTACTATTTTCAAATAAATATAGGGTTTAAATGACTTGCATATCATTGCATTTTGTTTTTATTTACAGTTTGCAAAGCATCCCAACTTTTTTGGAAATGAGGTTGTAAAAGAAAAAACCTCCCCAAAAAAATCCCACAAAGCATGAGGAAGAACCAGTGAGAGGAAACATGACTTTACCCTTCTCTAGGCTGCACTGGATAGTAGAATTATAATAAATAAGCGTTAAAAAAAGAGATGAACAAATTCAGTTAAATTAAACATTAAACAAAGGCACATAGACCAGACAGAGGAAGAAATCTGGGAAGCAAACCAATGCATAATTTACAGATGTGTCAGAATAGATCTGGTGGACTACACAGATTAAAGCCAGATTTGTTTCCTTACCCTATCATCCCAAAAGAAAAAATAAATAAATAACTATTTGAGCCAGTAAGAATACGCAGTCATTACAAAAGCCAGGTCTTCCTTTCTACACTGTAAAATCATTTATTGCTTCTTCAAAAGTAACTTGGAATATCCATGCAGTGTGCATGCTTGATGCTGGTAAAACTACAGTGTGGATTCCACAGTCTCACATTGGCCACTACACTAAGCAGACTTGGCCAAATATTGATCCACTAGCCCCCTCTTCTGGAAGGAAGGATGAAACACTCTTTTATCTGTAGGAATCAAGTAATTAGTCCCAACAAAAATATTGACAAACAGTAGCAAACTAAACAGAGGCTTCCAAAGATTCCAAAATACTTCACTTGAAAAACATAAACTAGCTATGAAAGAAACTTATTCCAATATACTAAATGCAGAGACCAGTATTAGAATATTATGTATTCATTGTTATTACACAAACTGCCCAACAATCATTGCAAATTCACGCAAAGGTAAATTGTTATTGTTCACTTTTTAACAAAGTGTTCAAGTTAAGCTGATTAATTGTGGTTCATCCATCCAAAACCAAGCACTGATGGCTTTTTTGTAAAACAACACATTGCATTTATTAACAGAAACATACAATTTACATTTTCCATGCACACAGTGACAGAACACCGTCAGAAGTAAAGACAGAATAACAGAATAAAAAACAGACAATTATGGCTGCTGAAACAATAGGAGCTTTCCTTTTTTATAAAAGCTATGCCTCAGTAGTTTTATCTACTATGCTCAGCCCCTGCTGATGGTATTTATGTGTCTATAACAGACATCACAAGCTTTCTTCTGCAACCACTTTGCGGATGTCATCATTGTCTACTGAACTGTGCTGAGGTTCTTTACCTATTCTTAAAATAAAGAGTATTACTGGTCCCCTTCACCATCCTGGGTCATGAAAACAGAAGAAATAGAGACAAGCATGGTCACTTTACTGGTACAGTCTATAGTATTACCACCCAACTCTCCATCTACTGGGTTTTCTTTGAGTTTTCTCTGGCTGCTTTTCTCTTCAACTGTAGTGTCTTCAGTTCTGTCATTGTTGAGAATGTCCTCTTCACCCACACAGCCTGAAACACATCCATCAAACACAGAGTCACTTCATTTCAATGAAAAATACAACTGGGCATTCATTTTAATCCCTTTAACTATTTTAATTTTAATCCCTTAACTGCAAATTTGAGAAGGATACTTGTCTCATGTCTTTGTGCATCACATATGTGGCAGGCTGTTGTTCATCCTAAACCAGCTCCTTTACATGCTGCGAACATTCATGATAAATGGACCAACTGAACTGATCCAACGTTACCTGAGCAAACCTTACGTAAACCAGCCACTTTGTTAGAAACAGCATTCTTATACCACACTTTACTTTCAGAAAAGCCTGAATTCTTAGAGGCATGGATTCAAAAGGTGATGGAAACATTGCTCACAGATGCAGATGTGTCAGCTGACCATTCATGCTTGCAAATCTACCACATCCCAAAGGTGCTGTACTGGATTTAGATCTGCTGAGGTCACAATAGTACACTGAACTCATGGTCATGTTCATGGAACCAGTTTGAGGTGACTTTGAAGGTGCACAATCATGCTGAACATAACCATTAGAAGATGGGTAAATTGTGGCCATAAAGGGGATGCACACAATCAGCAATGACTCTCACATAGGCTGTGGCATTCAAATGATACTCAGTGCTCAAGGAGGCCCAATTTGTTCCAAGAAAAAACATTTCCCACACTATTACACCACCTCCAGCTTAAAGGTGCACTGTGTAAGATTTAGTGGCATCTAGTGGAGAGGTTGTAGATTGCAACCAACTGAATACCTCTCCCTCACCCCTCCCTTTCCAAGTGTGGAGTATAGCCGTCAAGCTTTGTGCCATCGCCTCTACCGATTTAGTTTTGCTTCTTTTTTTTTGCTTCTTTGATGATGAACATTTACCCTCACTTGCTTTTTTTTCTTGCTAAATAATAAATATGATCCTCAAAATGTGGGTTCTCAAACTTCTCACAACACAAAACCGGTAGCAACCATTTATTCTTCTTTCTATGTCTTCCAAACGGTGCTGTAGCTCCACCAAATTCAAGCTGCCACTTCAAAGTAAAAATGCGAAAGGCACTCTTGGGAGCCAGTGATGGATTTGTCTTTCTGGGCTTCTGTAGAAACAAGGCATACCACACAGAATGTATGTCTGTTTTTGCTCTAACATGTGATCTTAGGTCTGCAGATACTGGTCTTCTGCAAATACCTTCTGTAAAATACACATAGGGCTTCTTTCTGTTATTATGCTTCTAAACTGCAGAACTCCATTCCACCTTTTATTAGACAGTTTATTAGTAATTAGACATTACACACGTTTTTTAGAATCATTTCACAGCACTTTGCCACTGGTATGGAAATTTCTCTATACACAAGTTGTTATTAACATTATCATTATTATTTGGCTTTTTGCACCATTCTTGTAAACTCTAGAGACTGCTGTGGTTAAAAATCCCAGAAGATTAGAGGTTCTGAAATACTCAGACCATCCCATCTGACACAAACAACTATGCAATGGTCAGTGTCACTTAGATCACATATTTCCTTTCTTAACTCATATCTGTACGATCTGATGCTTTGCAGTGCTGCCACATGATTGGCTGATAGGGTAACTGCATGACTAAGCAGGTGTACACTTGTTTCTAATAAAGTAGCCAATAAGTGTATATTAAAGTAGAGAATTTTTCCCCCTTCATCTACAGAAATTACCATTTGAGAGAAATAAAAGTTTTTTGTCAGGCAACTACACATAAACACTTTCATCATTTTTACATATTAACATACATCTTCAGATAATGTACTCTGACAAATTTTTAACAATATCAGCTTTAGCAACAGAACTTTCTTGATGTCTTTTGGCGGATCTTTTGTACATCATCACTGTCCCATCAAAACCATGTATCTCTTTACATTGTGTGACCATTTAATGATTGAACAAAATCTTCTTACGTTCACTTATGTTAAAAGTTAGGAGCTTTGCATTCTTTAAAGACATGAAGAGGCATTAATATCTTACCACAATGATGACAGTGTTGAACAATAGTGGCACTGAATACACCAACGATATGAACATTCCCTTGGAGTCAAAGTACTGGAACTTTGAAAATGACCTGAAATTGAAAATATATTGCTAATAAACTGTCAACTAGTAGACAACATGATGCTTTAAATTAGGAAAGGGGAAGGGAAAGGCAGGGAGAGGGGAAAAAAAAAAGTCAGTTTACCTCCAGTTCATGGCTGCCACCTCATTCAGATACTCCGCACTATACACCATGGTAACTGAGGGAGGCAATTGGACTAACGTCAAGCATTATTTTGACTCGTTTTGAATCAGTGATACAGTAAACACACTTAACAAAGATGGTTCTCCAGTTTCTTAGTAAAGAGAATAGTTTTATTTATCTGGAACCATGAGATCTACACAGAACCATTTCATGCTGGTTATTTGCATAGTGAAACATTTCTTCAGATTGATGGAGAATGTGTTGTATATGGTTCTATACGGAACCTTTTTGAAAATGGTTCTACATAACACCACAAAGCATACTTCTATTGTTACAAGCTTGAAATTCTAACAACAGCAGGTGGTTATACTGCTATATAGAGTAACTTTCCCAAAGGTTCTACATAGAACCATATACAACACATTCTCCATCAATCTGAGGAACCATTTAACTATGAAACTGTTCTATGTAGAATTCATGGTTCTAAAAAGAATGAAAGAGTGTAGAAGAAATAAACATTGCATAATTAATACATACTAACCCATTAAGAGAAAATGGAAGATCTGTAGTCTGTAGTACTTGCAGGTGAAAATAGTAAAGGCAAAACATAAGAAGTGAAACACCAGCAGGCCAATGAGCCATGGTTCTGACCAATCAACCTGGACAGAAAGAAGATAAAACCTGTTTGTTCTTTTTGTGGTGTAACGTTAGACCACCTAATATAAGTTATAAAAGCATTTACAGCTTAAATAAATGACGTGTATTGTCAGCTAGTATATTGCGTTAACTAACTGAGTGTCACCAGACCACACGAAGCTGAAGTCAGGTTCTTATTCGCCAGCTTCTTGGTCCAATTTTCCCGTTCCACCTTAAATGGTACGGCAGTTACATTGTGGAGTCGGGCGCCTGAATGCAACTGCCGCACCATTTAAGGTGGAACGGGAAAATTGGAACAAAAAGCTGGCGAGTAAGAACCTGACTTCGTCCGAACTACTCGGCTGTGTCCTTACAGACTGTAGGAAAGTCCACGTCGATGTAATCCGTATATTGCTGAATCCATCTATGGGAATGGAGCTGATGTTCTTTGCTTTTTGTCCGCTCATTTTGTGGAATACCGACACGCTTGAGTTAGCAAAACTGATCGTAAACCATATTAACAACAAGCATCCGTATTCGTCACATCTCCTACGAGGAAAAGTGATACTTCAAAATAAAAGTACGTGAGACAAAATCAGAGAAAAATACACAAACATCAGGCAACAACCAACTGCCTATATGATTTCCTAGTTTTGTATTTTTAGTGCAGATTCTACTACACAAAGCATTTCCCAGAGAGTTAAATTACAAGATTAAGTCCATTTTTAATCCTAAAGAGGAAACAGCTATCAAAACAAGCTAATGTTATGCTGTGTCATTTTCTTACAGTACAATTACTCTCAAATCACATAAAATATAATCATTGGGAAAACAGATTAATTGGAAAACTTTGATTTTTTTATTATTATTGTAATTTACACATTTAAAAAAAATTAGAGAGTTATAATTGTTGAGATTCTGTTGAGCTTTTATTTGAAAATTCGCAAGGCAGTCGCTGCTACAGTTGACAGTAACACAATAAGGACACGCAAAGCGCTGTAAAACAACAAGAAGGATTCGGTTTAAAACAAAATCACCATCAAAGCAATCGCCCCCTATGGAAAAATGCTAAAGCTAGACTGTGCCAAGGTTATTTGTAGTGGGTACATCTCATATCAGACCCTCATTCCCTGCGTGCTGAATTACAAACTAGGGAACGAAAGTAAGGGACCTGATTAGTCAAAGGGGGTATTTGTTTCAGCCTAGTGGGACGTAAGGACCCTCAAAATTTCAATACTGTAGCAGTAAGTCAACTACCAAATGGTTAAAAAGCTGAGAGCATATTATATACTTTTACTCTAAACATTTGAAAACAACAAAATTTAGATGTAGGCAACCTATAAAACATGTAGTGATAAACTATGTGGTAAAAATGATGTGGACAGACCTTCTGTTTTAGCCACACCTATTGCTAACAGGAACAGAAAATAAAGAGTGCAGCAATGCTCTCCATAGACATCAAACATTTTCAGTACAATGGGTCATACTGAAGAGCTCAGTAACACTCAACATTTAAACATGCCACATATCCAGCAAGTCACATTTCTGCTAAAGCTGCCCTGGTCAACTGTAAGGGTAGTTAATGTGAAGTGGAAAGGTCTAGGAGCAACAACAGCTCAGTCAGCTAGGCCACAGAATGGGACCAATAAAGGTGTATTAAAATCATCTGCCTTCAGCTGTAACAATCACTACCAAGTTACAAACTTCTGGAAAACACTTCACCACTAGACTTGTTCGTGGGGAGCTTCACAGGGTTTACATACCCAATCAGCCACATACAAGCTTAAGATCACCATAAGCAATGCCAAGCATCGACTGGAGTGATGTAAAGCACTGGAATCTGGAGCAATGGAAATGCGTTCTCTGCAATGATGAGAATGCTACCTGCCCAAATGTGTAGTGCCAACTAGAGGTTTCTGCGGGACTGTTTTTTCAGTCCCACTTCCACAAGATTTCAGCCCACTCCTTCAGAAAATCAGAATCATTTGTCCTGCTTCTGCTGCAACAGAAATAGTTTTGGCGAACTCTGCCATCTCTGTAAGCTACAAGAATTTGCACGTTGTTCACATGATTGGTTGCTTCTCAACTCTTTAGAATGACTTCATTCATTGAAATTGTTTTACTGTTATCATTTTGTATTGTTTATACATATGATTAAGTGATAGTTGTACTTCATTTAGGTGATTCAATAATTTGCAAGATATCTCTTCATGCGTGCTTTGTCCCGCTCCTGCCTGCAGCGGGATGGTTACCCACCCGCTCCCGTGCACAACACTGAAAATAAGTCTCGCGCCACAAGATATTGTGGTGGGTCCCAAGGGTCATAATTTTGACTTAATATCTCATAATAATCACTGACTATCTCATAATAATGACATTCTATCTCACAAATATGATTTAATATCATAAAAATTAGAGTTTCTCATAATTTTGACTTAATCTCATAAAAACTACTTACTATCTCTATCACTATATGAAAACATTTTCTCATAATTATGAGTCGTAATTATAAGAAGGTGAATCATAATTATGAGATGCTAAGCCATAATTATGACCATGTAAGTTATGATGATGACATAAGTTATTATTATGCCATTCATAATTATGAGGTACCTAGTCATAATTATGGAAAGCTTCCTCATTATTATGACTTACTAAATGACTAAATATTATTTATATATTAATATTATATAGAAACGGGCTTCCGTATCCCTCTGTAGAACAAGCCGTGACAGTATTTTCCTGACTAACTAGTTCGACAGATTGATTTAGACTTATTTGGCCATTTCACGGGGTTCATTTATTAAATATATATGAAATTGTGGACGTTGCCATGTCAGTTGTGTCAGATCAGTTGTATCACCCGGTCCTATTCCGGAGCTCCTCGCTGTAGGTGGCAGTAACACTAAGCGCTGCTGTTCAGTCTGCCATAAAGCTCCAGCAGCAGCAGCGGCCCGAGTGGAGGCCATTACGGGTTTTTTCTTGCTGGCGTCTCTATCTCTCTTTCTCTCTCTGCTTCGCTTTTCACTCTTCTAACAAATTAACGCAGAATCTATCGTCTGTCCCGATGAAGGAGTTTCGTCCCGACTGACGCTGCTGGGAGAATGGGGGTACTAAACATTTCAGACCAGGTAAGAAACTGCAAAAATAAACCCAGTCTGCAAGCTCTGCGCAGCTAAGCTAGGCTAAGCTAACGTTACGCCAACTGCGTTGTTTATGCTCCTTCTTTGGATACAGATATCGGTTAGCAGCCTGGCTAAGGCTTACCGTAACCTTATTGGCTCGTTGGTTTGTGCTTTGGTGTTGATTCTGGTGGTAGTGCTGCTGTATTGCTGCAAACCTCTTATGTTTGCGTATGCAACAGAGGCAATTTTAGCGCTAAGACTGATGAGCATCAGCGTTTGCATGATCGTTGAGCTCAGACGTTAGCCTGTTAGCCAACGGTAACCCGCCCAACATAGGTTAAAACGCATTTTCCTTTCACTTTCTGATTCTCAGCTAGCTTAGTTGCTAGTTAACAATACGTTTCCTCGTTTCAACAAAAGCTCCTAGAATATCTCAAGGCAGAAACACAAGCCAATACTGGCTTCTTATTCGCCACCTTTTTCTCGTTCCACCTTAAATGGTGCAGCAGTTACATTAGGGCGCCTGAGGCAGCCAGAAGCCAACTTCAGCCTCGTCCAACATTGTGGATAGACAGTAAATTAGCTAACGTTATAGCACAGCGGCTTAACTGTGCTAGCAGAACAGCTCGTATTAACCTACCTAGCTGCAATAGACTTGATTTTTAAGGCTGGCTTCGACTCTTAACTTGATTTTCTGAGAGGCTTGGCCACTATACACCACAATTTAGGTTGGCACTGTGCAGCAAAACCTTTTGAGGTATTTTCTGTAGTATATTTGTGCCTCTCTAAGGGTCAAATATCGACATTTCACAGGGGCAAAATTCATGAGAAAAACGCTTTAAAATTGCGCATTGAAGGGAAATTCCACCGATTTTTTAAATGTTTGGATAATTTAGTGGTTTTAGGCCAAAACTGTATCACAAAACTACTGTAAAACAGTGTCTGTCGTCAGGGTGAGAATTAATAGCTAACCATTTCATGTAATAACTTTCTGAGAGAGAGCTCTTAGAGGCATTAAACACTTCAGACGTCTGGTTCCTGTCTCCACCACTGCGAACACTTCTGACTCTAGCTAAGTTTCTCTGGAACGGAGCATTTCACACCAAACCACTCTGAATGACTTGATTAACATCTTAATTCATTAATTAATTATGCAGAAATTTTGAATGAAAAGGGTGGAGTTTTCCTTTTTCCATTTTGGTCAGTCCGCAATACTGTGTGGCATTTTTGTATTTTATTCTCCTCATTATCACTGTGTGATATTTAGTACATCCAGACCAATATAGGATTTAAGACCGATGCAGATTCTGATGTTTCTATTTTTTTTTTTCCTTCTTCTTCGTTTAAGCAGAATAAGTTAAATGCTGTAGTTTAACTGCTCATTAACGTTAGTTGTTTTCAACTGATAAGCATGAGAAGCTTAGCATTAACTAGCTTTGAAGTGAAAAGCTAGGGAGAAAAGATAGGACCGTTGTTTGTTCACTCTCTAGAACTGCCAGACTGTTTCATAAATAAATCTACAGTCAAGTTTGTCAGCAGCTTAGTCCACACCGCCAAACACCGTAACGTTAAACGTAGGCTACTTATGATGTTTGCCTGATGGCACTGTTGTTCTAACAGTTTGTCCTACCCATTGAGCAGTCCTACCGAGCATGCACATATCATTAGTATAGTGTAATAACTCAGTGTTTTAAACATTTATATTGTGTTTTGAATGTTAATTTGGAACAGACACAGCTTAATCTTACTACGTACCCCCCCGATTAGGTGATTTAGGCTATCAAAATATCCTAATTATTCTATGAATGCTAGTAACATTTTCTGATAAGGACATTTGCTGGCTTCTTCAAATTTTCCGAAGGCGGCAGAATATAGTGCTGCACAACAAAAATCTGGCGAAAAAGGAGAAGACTTCAGCTTTGCCGTTTTAACGCTGACAGGATTTTTTGATAAGATGATTTAATGATTTAAGCTATAAAAATATCCTAGGTTTTATTTATGGCGACAGGCTCTAATATTTAGTGTGGGCAATTAAATGATCCATCATTACCCACATGTTGGTATAAATACTACTGTGTCTCCACATCTATAGTGGACGAAAACGAGAATCAAACCCATGTTCCTACAGTAAAAAGAACCCAAATAGCTCTCCCTGGGACCTGAGCTTCACTGATCAGACTTCATTTTTGTGAAAAATTAATGAATTTATTACATAAAACAGTGAAGATATCAGGTCTGTCATTCATTAGTGGGAGCATGTAAGTTCATGAGTGGCTAAATCTTACTGTCCAACATCAAACTGAAATGTTACAGATAAAAGTTTTAGTAGTTTATGCCATGCTTTTATACACTGTGTCCTAAAGTAACTGGACACCCCTTCTAATTGTTGAATTTAGCTACTTTAAGGTGCACCCATTGCT